AGACAGAGAGAGTGAGAGAGAGGGAGAGAGAGAGACCGCGAGACAGAGAGAGAGAGAGAGAGAGAGCGAAAGAGAGACACAGGAAGTGAGGGATGGAGGGAGGGAGTAGGGAGACCACGGAGGGAAGGGGGGTAGAAAACAGGGGGGGCTTGGCAAGGCAAGGAATGGAGGTAGCAAGGGCAGAGAGAGAGAGAAAGAGAGAGGCAAGTGAGTGAGAGATCACCGTGCTGGCCACATAGAATCCTTGTTCTTAGCTTCTGTTTGCCTTGCAGATCCACAAGAAAGTTGCCCTCGCTCGAAATCACACACCAGCTTATGTCAGTCTGGCTCGCCGCATGAACGGGCTTCGAAGTGAGACCGTGGCAGATGCAGGCATTGTGAAGGAGTTGGCATCTTTGTATGAGCAGGTGCACAGCCCTAAGAAGGCGTTGGTTTCACTTGGTCTGCAGCATCACCCGTCAGCTTTGCGCATTAGCAACTGCAGGGACCCGCTTCACAGCAAGATCATTTACCATGCAGATGGGCCTACCATGTACCAGCGAGAGCAACCATGGTCGGATCTAGGTCCCCCGCAGCCTCCTGACAGTGACAGGCAACAGCCACCAGGTTCCGAGGACCCCGATGCAAATCGTGATGACCAGCCGGGCCCTGCAGATCAGCCTGAGGGTGCAGTTCCCAGACATGTTCCTGATGCAGATGCACCGGCTTCGGTTGGTAGTGCAGCTGGGGCGACTGCATCCACAGAGCCACCGCAACAGCTTCTCCGCAGGGCCAGGGGGAAGCAGGTTGATGTTCTTGCAGCACAGTCGCGACATGAAGCAGTGGTTGCCTTGAAGCTAGAGAAACCTGGTGAAGCACAGGCAGCTATGTCAGATGTTGTCCTGCAGCGGTATGCTTTGCAGTCTATGTCGGCACTCATAGAAGACGACGGTTCTGTATCTGACAAGATTTACTCCATGCCTTTCAGCGACCAGGCGCTTCGATCTTTGCGTTGGGCGGCGTCTCGGCACTCCGCCGATGACCCTGTTCCGGTCTTGGATTGGGACTCATTCAGCTTGCGAGGCCATGTTTTCATGCAGATCATCCGCAAAGCTGTTGGGAGTGTTGTCTTGCCTACAGCCACGGGCTTTCGGAAATCAGATTGGGCCGTGTCGTTCTTGAGGGTCGTTTCGGTGAAGCGGCTGGGCGCTGGCGAATTTGGTGTTGTTGTCAACTCCAGTCCTGTGAGCTTGCGGAACTTGGATTCAGATTTTGCAGGGTCTGCTACGCCGGTGGTGCTTTGCTTGGAAGCTTTGCCTCTGGATTCGTTGTTGGGCATGCGAAAGTGGGAAAGCACAAGCAGTCTTTCATATCGTTTCATCGTGCCAGCAGATGATGTTGACAACTCTGCATTTTCAGGTGCTGTGTGTCAGTCATTGCTGCATGATTTGTTGGGTGCCGGTGCTTATATCCCGGCAAGCAACGACCCGCTGCATACTGAGAAGTGTGAGCTTTTGGCCAAGCTTGAAGTTCGGGGCTGGGCTGAGCGTGACAAGGATGGTGGTTGGGTAATGACATTCAAGGGTCACCGGTACATTGAAGTTGAGAATCTGCTGACAAGTTTGGGCAAGGTTTTCCAGGCTCGCGACGTGCCGCTTGAGGACATGGAAATGGTAGAGCTTTTGCTGATTCTTCGCGACAGGGGCTGGCAGCATAAAGGGTTGGAATCAAAGCGGGCTTTGGAAAAAGGTGCAGCTTACAAGGGTGCCGAAGATGAGAAGATTTGGTACTACCTCGTGAACAACCCTTTGGTCTGCAAGGACTACCTCTTGTGCTTGCTCAATGCTGAGCAACATGGTCAGCCTGTGCCGCATCTTCAACATGCAGGGGCATATGCTGCAATCTTGGGGAAGCCAGTTGCTAGCAAACCACGTCGGAAGAAGGGTGCTGGCCTCGTCTTCCTGAATGACGAGGATGTTTGGGTGGACGAGTCAGCTCTCCTACCTTTGCCTGCCCCACGCAAAAGAACCCGGCGGCGTGCAATGGGTTCGGATGCTGTCCCTGCCCTCGAGGATGCCGCTGACTACGATGATGATGCTGAGATCGCAGACGAAGACCACATGGGCGACCAGGCCGAAGATGATGCTGAGATGGCCGGAGAAGGAGGTGATCATCATGATCCACAACAAGACGGAGCTGGAGAAGCAGGAGCAGAAGATGCTTCATCGTCCGGTTCTTCAAGCAGCTCTTCAAGTTCCTCATCTACATCCGGGTCAGGGTCTTCATCATCATCCTCGGACAGTGATAGTGAGTACGTGGAGGATGAAGCGGGAACCAGGCGTGCTGTGGCCATGCCAAAGGGTGTCAAGCGAAGGCGCGATGTTGCGACATCCTACGGCCTTTGCCGAATCACGCCCACGAAGACCGGCTTCCAAATGACGTGTAAACACCCGGGGCACGAGACAGCAAGTGGCACTGCATGCACTAAGACGAGGAGCTCGAACATTGACGGGCCCGACGTGGCTCTCAGACTTTTGAAGTTCTGGGCACAGAAAGGCCGCCGTGTGTCTTCCAAGAAGATACATCAGGAGAAATGTTGGAAAGAGGTCATGAAGGCTTTGAAGGACGGCTCGCTGCCATCCATGGAAGAGCTGGATCGAGCACCTGTCCGGTCCTACCCCGGACATTGAGGCCTTGTCAGAGCTGAAGTAGAACAGTTCAGAAAAGTATTGCATCCTATAGAGCAACTAGAGCGTTTGTTTGATATGTTGCTTTTGTGTTGCACTTGGATGCTTCTCAGCTCAACAAGAAGTAGTTGTCAGCTGCGGTCAAGTTCTGCAGATGCTCCAAACGTGTCTGTGTTGTCCCAGTGCACCTCGATATTTGGACTTGTACTGTAGTGCTACTGAACCGTTCTCTGTGATCATGTCTCTATTGCAAATAATCAATCATCATAGTCAGGTTCTTTTGACTTTGCATCAGCAGACTCAAGGTGCTTGGGCCGCATTCCGCAGAAGTTTCACAAGCCAGCGGATTGCCCGCTGCGGAGCACACGTTGTCAGTTTCGTGTGAAAATCAGCCAAATCCGGAAATTCTGCTGAAATCTGTCTGCGTGGAGGTTTTGCGCTCGTTTCACGCTGGGGGGCCCGTGAAAGCCCCTTGGGGGCTGCAAATCCGCCGCTGGGGGGCTCTGGGGGGCCACTGGGGGGCCCGGGGAGGGTTGCTCGAAACGCTCGAAATTGCTCGAAACTCCCAGGGTCGCTGCTCGAAATTTGGCTGGGCCGTGTTGCTCGAAACTCTGGCTGGTTGCTCGAAACTCCCGCCTTTACTTTAGCTTTAGACCTGCTCGAAACTCTGGCCTGTTGCTCGAAACTCTGGGCTGTTGCTCGAAACTCTGGGCTGTTGCTCGAAACTCTGGGCTGTTGCTCGAAACGCTCGAAATTGCTCGAAATTCAACGCTGCCTGTGGCCCTTGAAATGGCTGGGGCCAGGCACTTCAGGCTCTCTAGGCCCACGGCTTCGATTTCCAGCGTTTCTGGGCGGAATCTGGGATATTTAGCGAAATCCGCAGAAATCAGCACGAAAAGAGAAAACACAGTATTTCAGATTCGGTTGCGCTGAACATTGCGTTGTTCCAATAAACATATCTAGCAGGCCCGGGGGATGGAAAGTCCAGGTCTGTTGTCACCTCAACTTGTTGTTCCTGCAAATAGGTCAGTGTGCAACAATGAATATTGAAAGTTGTCCCCCTTCAATCAAATCAGTCAAGTCGATCATTCTGATTCGGATGTGGCAGGTGCGGTGAACATTGCTGACTCACATGTGCTGTTCTTGGGGACACGTTTCCATGCAATGAATCTGTGAAGCGAAGCCAGTGACATCAGCACGTTCTCGCTCTACTACTACTCTATGCTACTGCGAATTGCACTTGTGTTATACCCATTGTCCTGCTGGGTCGGGGCCCGGGGTCTCACTGTTACTTGTAACAACGTCTACACTCTAGAACGAATGTAAGAGTTGATCAAGACTAGAATGTAACAACTTGTGCAAAGAAGTTCTGTGTGAATGTTGCAGTTGCAGTCGCAGTCATGACATGTGCCAGTGCTGGTTGACTCCCAAGAGGGCTGGGGCACTGCTGAGGGTGGACCATTTAGATCGCATCTCTTTGTGGGCATTGCAGCATAGTTTCAAGTGCAAGTCAACGTTGCTGAGGCAACCGTGCAGCAAAGTGGAACTAACTTAAAGTTATGTAACCAAAGACTCGATTCTGTCGTTGTAAACCCTTAGCTTAACTCACATCTCACAACTTACAACACATGTTGCCCTCACGTCCTCAGGCTTCCTCAGGTCCTGAATCCTGAAGTCCTTAAGTTCTAGAGTTTCAGGAGCAACACCAGCAACACCACCAACTGCCACCAACACCACCACCACCAACACCACCACCACCAAGCCCTGAACCCCTGAACCCTGAAACCCTTAAGCCCTGAAGCTCAAAAGCCCTGAAGCCTGACGTCCTCGAGCTGGAGACTTAAGCGCCGGCGCCTTGCAGCTAGCCCAAAGCCCAAGCAAAGAGTCAGACCCCGCCAGACAATTCAATGAGCGATGCTGCTGCATCTTTTGCTGTGAAGGGGTAAGATGTAGCATGACAACAAGCAGTGAAAGCAGTAGTTCAACACATTGCAACTCATGTCGGCGTCCAAGGGCACAGCACTGGCATGCTGGCGGACTTTTGGTAAAACGTAGTCTCATATTACTTATATGACGACTTATATGTCCAGGTCTTTCATACCCGGTCCCTGCCGAGAACTAGCTGCACAACTGGTGATAGCTAATTTGCCGTAGGTATTGCACAGGTGTATGGTGTGTGTTGTACAAGGTCCTCCGTCCTGAAAAGAACTGCTTCGATTTAGAAGTACTGTGCTCGGGCCAAAACCGAAGACGAGTGGAACAGTGTAGCATCGTGGGTGTAATGCAAATAGTTCTTGGGCCAGGCTCTGTAGGTCTTTGTGCGTTCTGTAGGGCATGGCCGAAGTGCGTGGGGCCTTGAAAGCGGGCCCGTTGTCGCTGGATGAGTTCTGCAGCTGGCCAGTCACGGTTATTAGAAGCCTGATTGGTGCAGGTGACGGCGATGATGGAGAGCGGCTCCATAGATTGCGATTTCTGCTTCAGCGAGGCCTTTGGATTGACTCCGACTATTCTGGAGTTGCGGGGGAGTACGAGGTGATGCACCAGATGCTTCAAGCACTGAAGCATATTGCCCTAGAAGCTGCCGGACTAGGAGGCGAATCTGCTGTGTCATGTTTCAACAATGTGAAGGTAGTACACGGGCGGTTTTGCGACAAAGGCAAGCAGCAGCAAGACATCCTCAAATACATCAGCAGCTTGCACAACAACTCCGTGTGCCTTTTTGGTGACCTCAACGACCGCTTGCCAACTGCAGCTAGGCAGCTGTTGGATTCCATGATCCCGGAAACGAAGGTGACGCCCGCAGAAGCAAAGCAAGCTTATTCGAACATGTCTCAGTGGTTGATGGAGAACCGTGCCTGGGTGTTTGCCCCGGCAGGCACCAGCCCATGCTTGATTCATGGCACAGACTGCCCTTTGGTGAAATCAGTAGAGCCAGCTTCAACATCCCCGGCAACCCCTCCACCGAAGCGGCGAAGGTTGTCGTTTTCAGAGTCTGATACCTCGAAGATGGATGTTGCTGGTGAAGAGGAGTCTGTACCACTGGCACCGGCATCTAGTTTCTTGCGGGTGAACTTAGCAGGCACGACATGTACAGGCTGGAGTTCTGCGGGCAAGGGTTTGCATTTTGCAGATCCTTCTGAACGGCCTCATGCGATATGGCTTGCTGAGCGTGTAGCCCGTGCTGAACAAGGGGTGGAAGACATGGTGATCAGCGAGTGCACCCCTCGCTACCCGGTGAAGGCGCACTGTTCTGCCGAAGTGTGCCTGTGTTTCTTACATATAGATTAGCTAGCTAACGTTTGGTAGATTTCATGTTCCGGTTGGAGCAGCAACAAGGCAGAAGTCTAGGAAGGTCAGAGTCAGAGCCAGTGCAAAGCTCTCAATCATTGAATTAATGCCTCCCGAAGTTGGGATTAGTTTTCGAAAAGGTAGCAGATTTCAGGCTTAGACTATTTATCAAAAGTCATCAAGTCGTAGACTCAGACTCAGAAGCAGTGTGGATCCTGTTGTTGTCCTAGACACGGTTAGTTTCAATGAACCGAAGCCTTGTGATCGCCTTGTGAAGCTCCCAGTGCATGGGTCTGGCACCCTGTAGTGTAGTGAACACCCGACAACCGCTCAACAGTCTTGTAGTGCCAGCTCGTGCTTTCGCAGGAGAAGCTTGCTGACTTGGAAAAGACCCACGAGATCATTTACCTGCACATTTCCCCAATGCAGCTTGGGTGGCCTGTCAGGCGGTCCCGTGTCTTTACCTGCAGCTTGAATCGAGAGAGCATGGCCTGGGTTGGGCCTGATCAATCTGCTGTTGCTGATCATTTTCTGCAGTTGTTTGGCAGAGAGATACAAGCAACTGCTGATGTTTTCCTTGCCGCGACTGATGCAGAAGTCTTTGATTTCTTGCGTGAGCGGGCAAGCAAGCGAGGCGTGCAGTTGCCAGAAGACATGTCTTGGCAGGACGTGTCCATGCAACACGTCTACGCTCCAGGACAGCTTGTGAGATTGGAGAATTACGAGAAGGCCAGGCAAGAAGTTTTGTCTGAGAAGCATTCAGATGGTGCAGATGATGCTGCCGTCGCTGGTGATTCAGGTCCTTCACGTGATTGCGGTGCATGGTATGCAGATCTAGAACAAAACCCAGGTCACGGCGCAAGTACCCCAGGACCCATTTTGCCGAGTGCCTTGACGCATGGAACCCTGCACAGTTGGTCGGCAAACCGACCAATGCTGCCGATGGAGCAGTATGTTGCGCACGGCTGGAATGTCTTTGCAGATAGAACTTCTTGGAAGCATGGTTGTGAAATTTTGCCTGCCTTGCAGAAACGTTCTATGTGTCAGCAGAAGAAGATGCTAGGAAACGGCTGGCATCTGCCAGTGATTGCGAGCTGGTGGTTCTATTGCATGTGTCACTCAGTCAAGCTTGATCGTGCTGCCAGCATACAGCCCGAGAGGACTTTGTTGAGAAGCGGAGGGTCTAGCTTCTCCCTTGGGCAGGACAGTCAGCAGAGTCTCAGCAGTTTCGGTGATTGTGGTGCTGCCACCGATTCCGACATGTCACGGCAACAGTTTCAGTCTGTGGCTTCCGACAGCCACGAGGAGAACCCAGGTGCCTCCCCGCGTCGCTTCGTTAGGTTCTTGCAGTAGATGCAGAAGGCAGCAGGCAGCAGGACGATGTGCAAGTTTTGCCGCCATGTGCATCTGTTTTGCTGTCCGGGCTTAGTGCTGCTCAGTTTGTACAGTCCGTAGCTCAGGCTAAGTTGAAGCCAATTCACACGTTTTTACAGATGCTGAGCAAGGTATGTTGAAGTGGGCCAGGGTAACTGCGAGATGTAGCGAACATGTGTCATGCAATAGATTGATAGGTGGTCCCCAATAGCCCATAATCTGAGGTAATGCCCACATGTGCAAGCCGTCCCACTGGCCTACTTACGATGTTTGTGCTGGTAGTGTCGCTCTGCACAGTCTGAGCTGTCCTTGCATGGTACTTCCACATCACGAGGGCAAAAGCTGGTCACTAGTTTGTCGCTTTCTGTGCTGTGTGCTGGTGTTCGGAAGTGATTGTTAGACCTTTGCGGTCTGCCTGTAGCATGGGCCTCGCTCTCAGGTCAGAACTGAAATTTGTCGGTGAGCGTTGAATGGTTGAACTGAATGTATAGTCTGCCTGCCAGGGTCGCTGAGGTCAGTGGCCATGCTTAGGTCAGGAATCAGGAAGCCTATCGTCAGACTGCAAGTGCAACTGTGTTGAGGTTGAAGCAGTATTCATGTCAGTGCCCCGTCACGCCTTCTCCTCCGCTCAGGGCCACTTCCGAGCCAATGGAACAACACAGTTTGGGACCGGACAGAAGACACAGTTGCAGCCTCCACTAGAGTTTTGGCGCATCGGAACCCAGAGCACTGAGTATCGACATATGTTAGGAATTGCCTCGCTTGCATATACCGCACAACAGAAGTCTAGTGATCTAGTTGCAAGTGGTGCCGTGCCGTGTCACTCTTCTCTGTTGCTTGATCGGGGAAGCCCGGTCTCAAGCGCCTCGCAGTCATCATGGAGGATGACTTCGGCGACTTCCAGGATTGCCCGGACATCGTAAAGCAGCTGGAGCTGGCCAAAAAGCAGGGTGAGGCCGGTGATGGGGCGGCGCCAAGGGCCGGTAGATCCAAGGCCAAAGCGAAGGCCAAGGCTGCGGTCCTGAAGATTTGCTTCATCACAACGTGCGATTCCCAGTGCTTGAAGGGCAAGAGATGGTGCAAACCACATAACCAGACTTATGACAACATGCATTACCAAGCCAGAAAAGCCGGTGAGGTCGAGGCTTTGGATGAAGCAATGGGCAACAGCGCAACGGCAACTGCAGCCATGGAGGAGTTCGAGGAGATGAACCCCTCGGATGGAAAATGGAAGCGCAAACAGCTGATCAATTGGTCACAGTTCAAGCGGCTTTACTGTGTATCCCAGATCAGGAGAAGCCGCCAAGGAACTCGCCCGTTTGAACACGGTGAGTGGATGATCCGGGGCGAGAAGACCATGGGGTGGAGCAAGTCGGCCACTCAGACTGAGTGGGACAAGCATTTCAAGGATCCCAGCATTCACCGAGACAAGCTCGGCATCGACAAGAGCGACCGCCTCTGGATCCCGGTGATAGAGGAGCGCCACCGGGACACCGATCACATCAAGTCCTCCATGCTCGAGGAGGGCGGGGCTCAAGAGAAGCAGCTGAGTGCTGATGACCGTCGTGTGCTCTTGGCTCAGTGCAAAAGCAACCTGCGAGATCGTGACCCTGACAGCTTCTTTACTCACGATGCCGAGGACACTGAGGAAACGCCGCCTCCAAAAGGAACCAAGCGTGGATTGGAGGAGGCTGATGAGGCTCAGACTCCGGCCGAGAAGAAGTTGAAAGCCAAGCTTGACAAGCTTTCCTCCTCAGGCCCAGCATTCACTGCCTTCAAGAACGCCGCCGCCACCAAGGTTGAAGACAAGCTTGCAGCCCACGTGAGAACAGCACAGGTTGTGAGGGCCAAGATGAACGAGGCCCGTACGGCCACGGAGGAGTACAAGAATGCGCTCACTGAGAAGGATGCGGTTGTGGATTCATGGCAGGGTTGTGTTGCAGCCTGTGGAGAGATTCTGGCGACTTGGGATTATGATATCCCCAATCCGGCAGGTGACAATGCACAGGAGACGTTCGAGAAGTACCAGGTCAAGCTTGAGGACACGCTCAAGAGGCTACCGGATGTGAAGCTCGTGAAGGGCGACAGCAAGCTGTTTCCGAAGGGCTACTTCGAGTGCCAGGCTCATGTGATGCGGGCCTGCAAGACAGCTCAGGAAGTGAACGACATTCAGACCGCGCTCATGAAGACGCACCTATGTACAGTGGACTTGTTCTTGAAATCGATCCTGAAGATCTGCAACGATGCTCAGAGCTACATCAAGCAGAAGAAGGCTTCCCAGGATCGTTCAGAGGCCAGGAAAAAGAGACAGCAGGAGGCGGAGCAAACTTTGAAGGCGAAGGAAGCCGCCAAGAATGCAGCCCAAAAGGCCAGGATGTTTAGCAAGCAGGCCCACCCCATCTTCGGCATCAAGGAGGACTCGTGGAAGGCCTTCTTGGTTCACTCCGGCGAGAACTTTGACGTCGCCGCGAACGTGAATAAGCCGTGGGTCATGCGGGCAAGTGCAGCTGCTAAGACTTGGAGGAATCACTCAGACAGCAGTGTGAAACTCTCTGAGTTTGGCGGGGCATATCGCAAGACTCCGTCGATCAAGGTTGATGGCAGGGCCATGGCCCCTGTTTTGCAAAAGCAGGGAAAAGAGCAAGGCGAGGCGATGATGCAGAAGTTTGCTCCGACTACAAAGTTGTTGGACCTCTCCAAGCTTTCAGACGGGGCCCTCTTTCAGGCCAACTTGTGGTATTGGGGTTTCGACAACAAGATGTCTGGCGCCTTCCTGGCTCCCAATGCTGCATCCCTGATCCGTGTCGTGGCTATGGGGTCTGTGAGTATGGTAGCCTTTGACGTGGCCAAGATCGTGACTCAAATGGAGGGCGTGAACAAGGCGCCAAACAGCCTCTCAGATGTCACGGACTTTATTCTGAGTTTGGATGACACGTACTTCATTGAGCATGCTGACGAGAACCTTGGCTACGCCACGACGCTCAACCAAGATGACATTTGCTTTGTGCCTCAGGGCTGGATCATCGCGGAACAGGTCTCAAGCACATCATCCTTGACTTACGGTGTGAGAAAAAGCTATCTCATCGATGATGTTGCATCCAAGAACAGTTACCTGGCAGCAGTCAAGCTGCTGAAAAGTGGCGGCGGCCGCAACACCGAGAAGATGGAGGAAGTGGCCAAACAGTTCTCCGCGGATGCAGTCGTGGGTGATGGAGCTGCTCCGGCAGCTGAGGCAGCTCAGGCTGCTGTCGCTGCATCGTGAGTGCAGCGACGGGGATGTGCAACATTGTTGCGTTGGCAGGGGTGCTGGATTCCTCTGACGAAGTCCGATGAATCCGGACCGGGATTGCTCCTGGCACAGTGCTTCGTGCAGTCTCGCTTTTCACTTGTGTGATGTGCAGCACATCAGGGGGCCTTCGGCTCAGATTCACATCGTTCGTGCTGGCTCTGAGAAACATTTGCTGTTGAGCATGCCATTCAAGCCTATTCTGATATATTTTTTCGGCACACTATTTCGTATGGAAATACATATCGATTTCAGTTGAACCATGGTTTTTTAGCCGTCTCAGCATCCGTAGCCGCCAGTTTACGATGAGAGAAACGCGCATGATGCCGATACTTTTGTAATACATTGATCCCTATGGGTTCCTGTGGGAGAACAGAATGATGTCAGTCAGTGACGATTGCCATTCAGCCGTCTCAACAAACGTAGCCGGCCATTTAAGCTGAGACAGGCGGCGTGGGAAGATTGGAAGGCATATGTTTAACATTTTTAAGACAATATGGAAATATATAGAAATATATATATATATATATATATATATATATATATTATGTATACAGGAAGTGTTTTCGATGTCATATGTCAGTCAGTCAGTCAGTCAGTCAGTCAGTCATGTGAACATACTATGGCCGTTTGAACATGCGGAGCTGTCAATTGAGGATGCCAGAGGCCGTGGATGACTGTTCGCAGGTGATGCAGAAACCGCTGCGGCTCTGTCTTCATGCACACATGCGTGAGGGGAAACTGCAAAAGCACAGCCGTGACCATGTTTTGAATCAATCTACACAAATTTTTGGCTTTTTCCATGAACGATGGATGGTGCGGATTTCCTCAAACATCTGGGAAGTTCGTGGGCCTGGATTGCGCATTTGGCACACGCTTTTGGTGTGCATCGCTCATTGCCCTGACTTATAACCGTGGCCGAACCTAAGAGCCACACAGAAAAGTAAGCAGTTCCCCAAGAGGACGGAGTTCGGGGCGGAGTGCTAGTCGTGCCAGTGGAGTTTCTTCTGGCTTTCCTTCAACCCCTCGAAGTGCACCTGGCTCGCGGACTCGTGGAAGGTCCCTTCCTGCTCGGAACAGTCCGACAGCACACCGGCCTGTGAGTAGACCCAGACCTCTTGCGAGTGCAGGTCAAGTGCCTCAGGTGCCTTTTGCACAGGTGCCTCAGCAAGTTCCTTTGCAGCAGGGCTTTCAGCAGCAGCAACAGCCTCAGTTTGGACCGCAACCAGCTTTCCCTCACGGAGGAGGGATTCCGCAGCAGGTAACTGTGCCTAGTCCAGAAGACAACACTGTCAACCTTTTCAGGCAGATGTTGCAAGCCCAGGATGAACAGATCCGAGCTCAGCAGGGCCAGATTTCGCAGCTCACCGAGATGGTGAAGACGCTCGCCGTTGCGAGTGCGAATGCTGCAAGTTCGGCCGCAAGTGCAGCACCCGTTGCTGCGAGTTCGTCCCAAGAGACGCCTGCTGCAGCTCTGGGCTCCTTCAGAGTTGACTCTGCAGCTCTGGGCTCCTTCAGAGTTGACTCTGATGGGGTTGTGAAGATGGATGTGGACACAGGCTTGCGCAGCAACAGGGCGGAAAACTACATTCCGTCCCTGCCAAAGTTGGCAGCAGACAAGATGAGATCGCGCCATGAGGAAATCTCCACGTGGACCGCTTACCGCGAAGAACTGACCTCCTGGCTGTGTCTTGTAGACGACCGCTACGCGGAGGAACTGCAAGAGGCTGTGGAGAGCGGTGTTCAGGTTCAGCAGATCAGCCTCTCAAAGGGGAAGGCCGCTCGTTCCACTAATCTGTGGTACCTCTTGAAGCAGGCTCTCGCTGGTTTTCAGCGAGGAGTTGACATAGCCAAGCTTGTCGAGTTGAGTCAAGGCGGTGCCGCTGCAGGGTACGACCTCTGGCGTGAGTTGAACAAAGAACTGTCTGTTAGTTCTCGTGTGGAGGGACAGGCGCTCAGAGAGCAGGCTCTCTTGATCGCGCCACCAAAGCACTTGAGACGGCCATTGGATATTTTTCGCCATATGATTTCTGATTTTGCTCGCTACCTCACGCTCGTTGCCAACAAGTACCCAGACCTTGAACTGCAGCAGGCTGATGTTATCAGCTGCATCTTGAAGCACCTTCATGATGATTGCAAGAAGTACCTTTTGTTGCATGGGTCTTTGACAACGTTGGAGCAGCTTGAGCGCGGTTTGGTTTTCTACGATGAGCAGCTTCGTGTTTTGAACTTTCACAAGGAAGCCTCGAACGCCAAGGGCTTTGCAGCTTTTGGTGCTGATCGTTCTGAGAAGGGTGAGCCCAAGGGTGGCGAGCCCAAAGGAAAAGGTCACGGGAAGGACCAAGGCAAGCATGGTGATAGGCAAAGGCAAGGACAAAGGAGGAAAGGGAAAGGACAAAGGCAAGGGTGGCAAGAAGGGCGGAAGGGCCCGATCTTCGACGCCGGCTCCCGGGAAGAAGAAGCCGGGCACCTGCAATTACTGCCACAAGCCGGGCCATTGGGCCAACGAGTGCAGGAAGAGGATTGCCGATGAGAAGGCTGCTGCGACAGCAGCGGCGGCAACAGAGAGTGCTGCTCCCAAGGTAGCCCCTCCTGCACCTTCCTCGACTGCGGCGCCAGCTCCCACTGCTCCAAAGGGTGCCGGGAAGATTGGCAAAGCGGCCCTCCTTATGTCGTCACTGTTGCCCGCGGCAGGGCAGATTTCTGAAGCAATGCCTGAGAGGGGACAGTTTTTCACCATGACT